TCATATTGTCGTTTCAGCCCTTTTTCAATACTGCTAGACTTTTGTTATATTTATATGTCTCACGACGTTTGTTACTCGTCAAGAGAAAAATGAACTACTTGGTCGTTATATTATATAGCAACAATGAACAAACATAGCTGCCAATGTCTATGCCTATATTAATACCTATATATTTTTATGATATAAAATTTTAGGACATAGAAACGAAACATAATTTATAATAATATGTTATCCATATACGATTATAATAATTCATTAATCCAATATTATGATTTATGTGTATTAATTCTATAATTCTATTTTCACAAATTTAAAGACAAATTAAATATGAATAGGTATAAAAAATATATAACATGAAATATTAAACAAAAAATTATTATGAATTAAAAATAATAAAATATGTAAAAAATTGTTTTATTTTAAACTGGTATTACAAAACATCCAAACGCATGAATTCATTTTTACATCACTTTATTGAGTTTTCTGTATTATGAATGATTACCCTACGTTATAATATTATAAAAACCACTGCTTTGGGCGGATACAAGATAATAAATATATAAATACCTACTAATAAAATTCAATCTTCGAAGATAGTAATCCTTGCATAAGATGCGCATATATCTTGTTTTTTAGTCATTAAGCATTTTAGTACCTTATATGTCCTGTTTATAATCAAAAATAGAAAATAATATCCTGCAGACAAAATGTATAACTTTGACATAGTTATAATATTATAATATGCTTTAAAATTAAAATATAAAAAAAAATCCAATTTGAGGTCCCAGATAATATTTTTACCTTTATATTTTTTGATAAGTGAATTCACTCTAGCATTAAAATTACCAGAGTAAAAAAGATTTCTCTGAACGTAAAATTTGTTATACTCAATGCGTTAGTAAGATGGAGAAAATAAATTTGAATATTAATATATTATGGCGTCTTCTTAAAGCGTCCTAAAATATCTTCAATATAATTCTTATTGGGCTACTATCTGAAATTAAAAATATTAGAAATCTTACAACATGTTATTTATATCCGTTTTAATTTTCCTCGAGAAAAACATTATTGTCAATTTTATTTATTTAAATATCTTATTTCAGATAAGTTTAAATAAATAGTTGGATATGATTGTATGTTGTCTATAGTATAAAGTCACGTTTTAAAATTTGAATTTATTATATTTTATAACTTCCTAAAATATTTATATAGTGCCTATATTGGAATTTATGACTACCAAATTCTGTAGGCTTAATTAAACTTAATAAGTCATACTAATTGGTATTTATAATGATAGGTACAATATAATAAATATACGTATATATATGTATAAATTGACAAAGTAACTTAGACTTGAGAATTATTCAAGTAAATAACTATAAATATCCATATGTATTACTATAGAAAAAAAAAAAAATAATAATAATTTTAGTTATTAAAGTTTAATAAGTAGATGTAATGTTATAATAAATTGAAATAATAGACGACGGCTCGCATGCCCGCAATGACCACGAGTCAACGATATCGCTATGATATTATGATAAAGCTGTGAACGATTGTTTGTTTTCTCGGATCGACAATATACTATTATATAATATTAAATCGGTGATTTGTAACGTACTATAAAAATTGTCTTAGACGCAAAAACATCGATCTTTTCGACTTTTAAGACCTGAACATCGCACTACACGAGCGCCTATTGTACGCGAATGTAACGGCCCCGTGCGTCGTGGACACCGCACAGATAAACAAACAAAACATCGGTTGCACACGCTCAGCCGATGAACTCCACACGCAACGCAATGCATTTATTTTTATTCGTATTTAGGTGTGTAATATTATTATGTTGCGGTTTGCATTTTGCATATTATACCTACCATGTAGCATACGCGATTTACCGTACGAGATTCACATAACACATTATATATAAAACACATCGCATTATGACGGGGACCGAAAAAATGAGTTTAAAAAACGTATAAAACGCGTACCACATGACGGGCAGCACCGCGGTTTCGGCGATTCCACGCGCACACACACACACACTCACACGCGCGCGTATAGTGCCGTTGATTCGACGTGTGTGTGTGTGTGTGTGTGTGTGTGTGTGTGTGTGCGCGCGCGCGCGTGTGACCTGAAGCCGAAGTAGCAGCTGAGAGATTTAACGGAACACGACGGTAGTGTGCGTGCGAGCGCCGAGAGAATGCGAGTGCGTGCGTGCGTCGGCGGTGGTTCTACACCGAGGCGGCGGCGGCGGCGGTGGAATTAGGTCTTTGGGTAACGACGATTGGTCGTCAGGTGGGAGGCGGATGGACTCGCGGCGGGTTTTCACGTGGCGGCGGCGGCCTCCGCGCCACCGGTCGAGTTGAGTTACCTGCGTGCGTGCAGTGTGTGATTTACGGTCTCGCCGGCCGCCAACCTGCAACCGCTGTCGTCGTCCGCGTTCGCGTGGTCCGAGTGTGTGCGCGCGCGCCGTGTGTTCAAAATTTTGCTCGGAACTTTTTTTTCGTTTTAATTTTGTTTAATTTAATTTTTATTTTTTCGTTTTTTGTCTACTACTACTACTACTACTACTACTACTACTACTACTACTACTACTATTACTACTACTACTAAAACAGTGCGTCGTCGCTTACTTTGCAGCAAAGGACGCGGCCCAAGAAATCCTCTGTCGACGCACATTCTGCACGTAGTAAAATATATCAATAAATACTCATACGTTGTGATAGTGTCGGGTCCGACGTAAGAAATTAAATATTTTTTTCAAATTTTATTTTAACTGAGTTTTGGATTACACTTGTCGACGTGTCTCAAACGCACTCGCCGTCTCCTGGTTCACGGTACGTAATATACTCAATTTATCAGAAATATAATAATTATTATTATTATCACGCTAAATGACGTAGTTGAAATCTCTCTTTGAAATTCAATGTGATTTACCCGCATAGAGAGATCTTTATAGCTCCATTTTAAAAGTCTACAGTCTACCACCGT